CCTCCTTGCTTGAGTCAGAGCTCAGCTTCCCAGCTGGGCTGGAACAGTCATTCCTGCCATGACCTGGGTCAGCACCCCCACCCCACCCACACAGACAGCAAAGGCTGCTGGGAACAAAGTCAGCTCCTGAAGCCCACCCTTAGTCTCAGTGAGGCAAACTCCCATCCTCACACAGGTATGTGGCTTTGTTCTACACAGCCACAATGGTCATGTGACCCCTTGGCTCATCTGTACCTGTGGAGGCACAGGTGACACACATCAAAACTTTCAGAAGATTGTCAACACCTGGGACCCTTTTATTTTTTTTCTTTTTATTTTATTATTATTTTTTTAATCCTCATCGGAGGACATTTTTCCATATTTTGTTCAGATAGAGTGGGAGAGAGAGAGAGAAACATCGACGTGAAAGGGACACATCAAGTGGCTGCCACCCGCACGACCAACCAGGGCCAGGGACAAACTGCAACCGAGGCACGTGCCCTTAACGGGAACTGAACCCAGGTCTCTCTGGACGGCAGGCCGACGCTCTAACTGCTGAGCCAAACCGACCAGGGCTTTTCCTTTTTCTTTCATCAGATAGAGAAAGAAGAGAGAGAGAGACATCGATGTGGGAGAGACACATCGACTGGTTGTCTCCCGCACAACCCCAACCCGGGCCGGGGACCAAACTGCAACCGAGGTACATGCCCTTGACCAGAATTGAATCCGTGATTCCCCAGTCTTCAGGCCAACGCTCTAACCACTGAGAAACTGACCAGGGCCACCTGGGACCCTTTTAGAACAGGACTCCCCCTCTGGCCGGTTTGGCTCAGCGGTTAGAGCGTCGGACCAAAGAGTCATGGGTTCGATTCCAGCCAAGGGCACGTACCTCAAAGAGTCATGGGTTCGATTCCAGCCAAGGGCAACCAGTCAATGTGTCTCTCTCACATAGATGTTTCTCTCTCTCCCCCATCCCTTCCTTCCACTCTATCTAAAGATAAATGGAAAAAATATCCTCGGGTGAGGATTAAAAATAATAATGATAATAAAACAGGACCCCACATAGCTCCTCCCAGGGTTCTAAGAGCCCTATCTATGAAGAACTGTTGAAGCCCTATCTGTTAAGTCTCATGACACCTTTGCTGCTATTCTGAAGTCTCCCATGGGCAGGCCAATGTGGTGAAGAGGAGGGGTCTTCAGTGCTGCAGAAGACAGTGCTAGAACCTGGGGAGGGCCCCTGGGTTACCAGCTCCAGGAGGAGCCTCCTAAGGGTTGGAACTAACCAACAAGGGAGAAGTGTGCCTCTATGGAACATCTCCTGGGCTTGTGATGTTCCGACAAACACTGGTAGGTGTTCTGTGCCAAAAATGTGCTCCAAATAGGTATGGAAAATCTTGGGCTGAAGAAAGGTTAATAGACTTTGTACTGCAGGACCTCTCAGAGCCTTTACTGTGCTAGAGGGCATTGTGTGTCTCCAAGGGGGGGAGAGTATGCATCTGACTCCAAATGCATTTGACTCCAAAGCCCTTCCCCCAACCCCCACAAAGCATTATTTTACCATCAGGCCACATCTGTCCCTGGAGCAAGAGGGAAAGCAAATGGCTGCCCTAATCTGACCTGGAGAGGCACATCTCCCCTTGAGCGGGTACAGGGAAAACCCAGGAGGGTCTCTGGGCATCCCTCTGAGGGGCACAAGAGCTAATGCTCAACAAGGTGGTAACTGCTTTTCTGGAAGTAGAGTCCCACAGGACGCACACTGCTATGAATTTAAATTCCAAACAAAACCTGGCAGGGAAGACCCCATGCCTCCCAGCGCCCACCTCCTCTACGGGCTCCTTCCTTGGGTACCTGGAGAGAGATGGTGCTAAGTCAAGGGCCTCAGGAGTCTCTCCAAAGACATATAGTTGTCACAGATTATGGGTTGAAACAAGGTTCATAGGGCCCAGTTTCTAGACCCAGATGCCCTATTACAAAAAATTTGCCCAGCCCTGGCCAGTGTGGCTCAGTTGGCTGAGCATCATCCCATGCAGGAAAAGGTCACCGGTTCAATTCCCTGTCAGGTTCAGGCCTGGTTGGGCTGCATACAGGAGGCAACTGATTAAAGTTTTTCTCTCACATTGATGTTTCTCTCTCTCTCTCCCCCCCACTCTCATTCTCCCTTCCTCTCTCTCTAGAATTAAAAAAAATTTTTTTTAATTGCCCAAAGTGCCTGTGCTACTTTGGTCTGGCACCCTCACCACAAGCTGAGAAGCTGAGGAACCCCACAAGCATCCACCCCCACCCCCCTGCCCGATTGCTCCTGCACTTGCGTATGAACTCTGCCATCTCGTTCCCTCTCTCTGCTTCCAGGGCCAGCATTCCACTCAGAACCCTTGGCTTATCTTCAGCTTCCAGAGCTGAGGTTCCAAGGGCACAATGGGCTTCTGTGCCCCCATGTCCTCAACCCCCCTGTCCAAATCCCAGCTGCATTCATGGTGTTTTGCTATTGTGATGGGAGCAGCCTGGGGATGGTGCAGGAGGGGGTGGGCTCTTGGCACAGAGACTGGCTCAGACAGGCCGTGGTCAGTGGTCAGCATGCAAGTCACATTCACAGGCACTGCCAACGGGCCTGCCAGGCCTCGCATAGAATGGCGACGCTCCTGGATCCTTGGGTTCCTCCGGAGAGTCCCCTCCGGCCCACACACAACCTGCTTTCTCTGCAACCAGCCCCTTGGTAGCATCCAGGTGGGAGTATTTTTTCTTGCCTTCTCAGTCAGTTGCTATTTTGAAGCCACATTAGGTCACTGCTAAGTCCTAGGTGCAGGAAAGGCCTGTCCCCAGGAGCACAGCTGGGGCTTCGAGAGGGTTTAGGAGTCGAAGCAGCTGGGAGGTGAGTGAGTGAGCCCGAGCCAGGAGAGCCTTCTGGACGTCAGCAGGCACAGCCTCCCGCTCCTGAAGGAAGCCACTGGCCTAGCAGCACAGGAGAGTCCCACTGCCTCCCCTACATTTAACAGATGGCGAACTGAGGCCCACAGATAGGGGGTTCCCCAAAGTCAGGTCATGAGAGGCTTTTTGAGCCCCAGTGAAGGAATGCGCCTCTTTGTGGGGAAATTGAGGTAAGCAGCAGTGAAGCGACAAGGAGCAGTTCTCACAGAGACCCAGCTGGATCCCTGGATGCCAGAGAGCCCAAGAGGGAGCACACCATCGACCTCCCAAGGGGATTCCTGATGGCCCGAATCTCCAGTCCCTCTCAGCAGAAAGGGAACAAGGCCACCACGGGGCGGGGGCAAGGAAGGCTAGTAGGGGCTGATTAGGGACCCCCACTTGACCTGTGGATCACAGTCACCCTCCTTCCTTAGGGCTTCCACAGGACTCTCATGAAATCACCCAACCATTCACACTATATCGTCCTGTCTGTCTTCTGATCTGGGCCCCATGAGTCTGTGAATGAATCCCCGGGCACCTACACGGAGCTCAACAAATGTTTGGTAAGAGAAGACCCACGCACTGAAGAAAAACCCTACAAACTGTCCCCTAAAGTCACTGATCCCTGAAGCCGGTTCCCTGAAGAGACCGCAAAGTCTCTTACAAAAAAGAAAGATTCCCAGCCAAGAATAATTCCTCGTGTGGAGAGTGCTTTACAGTTTACAAAGAGCTTTGGCATACAAATTCTTTCTCCTGGCACCAAAGACTGCCTCTCCATGCTCCTCTCCTTTAGCTGTGCCCAACCAGCCCAACACAGGTCAACCAGTCCTCTCAGCTCGCCTGGTGTTGGCCCACCTCTAGCCCTGAGGCCAGCATTTTATCTGTCCATGTCTCCCCTAGTCAATGATGGCACATTTGAACACATGATGGGGCCAGAAAGGGTGGCCCTCTATCTCACCATTCACCTGCAATGCAGCGGAGCCTACACAGGCCTTCTCCGCCAAATGTTCAGACCTCTGACTCTCCTTACACTTACTGGTGTGCTCAAGTCTAGAAGGAAAATGACAATTATGTGTGTCCTCTCCCACACCCCTTCCCCCTGAACTTGTACAGAGAGCTGCCAGAGGGGAGTGAGTGAAGACCACAGAGGGTGTCTGCAGCTCACAAGGAAGCAGGAGTGTGAGTGGGGGAGGAGCGGGAGTCCAGTTGAAGAGAGAGGAGTGGTATATAGGAAGACTCTGAAGACCCTCAAAAGGGCTGGGAGTTCCTGGCAATCTGTGTGTTTATCTAGCTGGGGAAGATGCACTGCCCCTCCGACTCTGTAACTGAATCCACCCAAGAGCAGACTTTGCAAGCAGCCAGCCCAGGTTTCTGGAGAAGGCACTGGCAGCTGGAACCTCTCCCCCTACTAGCCCCACTCCCAAGAGCTCAAGAGGATTTCCCTTTCATATCCTTCCAGGCTGGGAGGGTGGGGGACAGCGCATTCTGTGGGGTCAAGCCCTCAAAAACCACTTCCTATGTGGCTGGGGAAGGGCGAGCAGCTGGAGGATGTATCTGGGGGTCCCAGTGTGCGAACAGCAGGAAAAGCCCTCTGGGAGAGTCACTGCTCTCCAGGGTGTCTTTCGGGTCGGAAACCACCGAGGTCGAAGGAGAAAAGATTGTAGGCCCCTCTAGAGGAGCCCGGAGCAGAATCTGCACTGTTGGTCTCAGCTAGCGGTGGCCAAGAAGGGGATGGCGTTGGGTGTGGGTAGGACACTTGGAAGGGGCTCCCCGCCCTGGCCGCACCCGGGCTGTCTGGAGCGAATTCAGAGCCCCCCGCCCAGCCATTCCCCACCCCCACCCCCCGCCAGGCCCCTTCGAGCCGGGCGCCGGGGGCTGGGACAGGGGGCGGGAGAGCCCCGCCCGCGCCAGAGCTGCTCCCGGCTGGGCTCAGCCGGGAGGTGACGCGCTCCAGGCGCCCCGGGGACTTCGGGCAGCGAGTTTGGCAGAGCTGAGCAAAGCCAACCAAGCCAAGCAGGGCCGGGCAATACGGAGCCGGGCCAGGCCAGGAGGAGTGGAGCAGATAGGAAAAGGCCCCGCGCGGTCGACGGAGGGCGGGGGCGCGCAGGGGCACCCACCTCTCCGCGCTGCAGCTGGAAGAAGCTGTTGAGATAGCTGGAGTGCAGGGGCGAGCCCAGCTGCTCTGGGCGGCCCTTGCCGAAGGCCAGTTCTGGAGGCGCAGCGCCGGTGGGCGGCTCGGGCCGGAAAGCGTCGAAGGCGCTCGCCTGGTGTGTGTCCTGCAGCGACAGGTAGACCCAGTTGAGCAGCTGGGCCGGCTGGTACACCGAGGCACTCGTGTCGATGGCCGACAGCAGGCTCATTTTGTTGCGGCGGCGCCGGCCCCTCCCCGGCAGCCCGATCGCGCCCCCCACCTCCAGCGGAGGGGCGGGCACCGGGGAGCCTGCGCCCACTGCCCGCTGCCCGTGCCCCGACGGCGATCGCCCCGCGCCCTGCGCCCCGCGCGCTGCCCGAAGCCGCCGCCGCCGCCGCCGCCGCCTCCCCCCGACTGCTGCCGCAGCGCGCGCGGGCGGAGGAAGGAGACAGCGAAAGTTGGGCAGGAAACTTTTGGGCCCGCCCACTTCGCGCCGCCCGCCTCTCCCCGCGCGGCGATCCGCTATCTTACTCAATGCTGACCCCTTGGGCGACCGCTCCAGGGGTGGGGCCCACGGAGGCCGCGCCCCTTCTGGCACCGTTCTCACCCTCCATTGGCTGTCTTCGTGAATATGAAGCAGTGGGACGGGGCGAGCAGGGAAATAAGGCTCATCTAAATATATAGCTCTATGCTGGCCCGCCCCTGGGCGGTCCCCCTCCGGGCCTACCCGCCCCCGCCCCCGACTGTCCCGGGGAGCCTGCGGGAGCTCAGTTCGGCCCCGGCCCGGTACTGGTCAAGCTCTTCTGTTCTGCTCTCGACTCTCTTCTGTCTCATGTTCTTTCCAAATCCTCTCCAATTATTTCATTTTCACCCGTTTTTCTTTTCCTATTTCCCCACTTTTCTCACACTCTGTTTACTCGCTCAGACTAATAGCTCCGGTGTCCCTTGTCTCTGTCCGTCTTTCTCTGTGGCTCTGTCTCATTCCGTGTCTCTCCTTCGTCTTTCCTATTTCCGTCTAGTCTGAAGAGTCTCTGCCTCCCCTCCCGTCACACACACACACACACACACACACACACACACACACACATTTCGCCCTCCTTCCTCTCGCTATCACCGTAGGACCCTCCCCTCCCACTTAATTCCTTCCATCTGCAGAATCGATTTGCGGGCCGGCTCTGCCAAGGGGGGCCCGGGTTCCTGCCCCAGAGGAAGGACTCCCCGCCCCCTTCCTTCTCCTTCCCCACACCTCCTCTCCCTCTCCTGTTTCTGCTCTGGGCCAGCCTGGCTTCTTGCCCCTTTCCTCCCCACCCACCCCCCACGCCCAGACCTGCCGTGCCCTTCGGTCGCCAAGACACCACTTGGTCCGAGGGAACTCGGAAGACGAATGCCACCACCACCACGTCCCAGGACAACCCAACTAGTCCCAGTTTGCCTGGAGTGAGCCCCCGCCCCCACCTGACTCACCTTAAAGCCCTGCGGCCCTCTCACTCTGGGACTAGCGTCAGAGGTCCTGGAGGGGACCTGAGTCACCTCTCCCACCTGAAACCTGGCTCTGGTGCCATTCCACCACCTTCCAGCTAAGTAATCTGGGCGTGGCACCTAACCTCTATGAGTGAACCTGTCAAATGGAGACAGTCACCGTCCTGTCTCAGGATGTTTGTGAGTTTAGCAGTTGGAGCTTGGTAATCAGAACATACTCCATAAAGGCCAGCTCCCTCCACAGCCCTCCGCGAGGATCTCAACCACGCTCTGCATCTACGGAACGGTGGGCGGACCTGAAAGGACTTCATGACCAGCGAAGCTCTGTCGCACCATGTCATCAAGAACGCCTTCGATTTTTTCTGTCTTATTTGACCATGTTTTTAAAGATTTTTGTCTATCAAATGATTTGCAATTATTGATACAAACCATAGCTCGAATACCAATCATATCTTAATATTTTATTTATCAGAGAAACATCTATACAGTACCCTTTATATTATAAAACAGTGTTGAACCTATTTGTTTAAAGAGAAGGTACACATTTGTTAGGAATATGTGTGATAATCATTTTCTCTTTAAAATATTTGGGGTCATCTCTGGAACTCTGCTACTATTTTTGAGGTTAAGGGCAGGGCATGATGATGGATAGAATTTGGAATCACTGATCTAGACGTTTCCTGGATTTTATAGCGAAAACTGCTGTTCAGAGAGGGGGCATCTTCCAACTGTACAAGCGGGCAGCTGGGGGGCCCAGAGGAGCCCCTGAGGCACCCAACTCCAGCTACAGTTCTCTGTCTCTGCCTCCCACTTTTCTGGGCGAGGGTAGTCCCGTTAGTTCAAAGGCAGTCCTAGTATAGGTTGCAAATTCAACCTGCTTTAGGGGTCAGGCAAGTACCACCAAGTATAAGGCAATAAATAGGTAATGATGGAGCTTGTGAACTAAAGTGCTAGCCACACAAAACCCTTCTGTCATGGTTCTCAGCCTGAGACTATGAGTCTGACACCTGCTTAGAGAGACAGTGGCCTGGGTTTTCTGTTCCTCAGAGTGATGACCAGAGTGATACCTGCTGACCAGACTGATGACCTCTGTCCCTTACACAACTCCCACCACCCTGTCCCCTACACAAGGCCTAGTGTATACATAGTAAATAATCCAAAACTGTTTGCTAGGTCAGTGGTTAAATAGTGTGGTGGAGGGATGGTCAAAGGGGAGTACCCCTTTGAAGACTAAATGGCTCCTCTGGGTTTGTACTTTTCTCCCTCCCCTTGCTCACTACACCTGCCTATCACATGCACTCTGTACCCAGTGGGTGACCAATAAATATGAGCAACTTACAGGAAGTTTGCCTGGATAGCAGCTGACCGACCTGAGGTAGCTCCTCAGCTGGCCCCTCGGGATTTCCTGAGACAGCACCGCCTGTAGAATGGGGGCAGGGTGATGGGTGAGAGTGACCCAATGCGCATCAGAGGCCTGGGTGGTAGGCCCAGGAGAGTGGGCCATAGCCAAACTCTGCATTTAAAATGTCAGAGGCCTTGCCCAAGCTTCACTTTGCAGAGGAGGAGGCACCACGGCCAGAGAAGGAAAGGGACTTGCCCAGAGTCACCCAGGAAGCCTGATGGCTAAGCCACCTGTTCCTACTCCATTCCACATCCTAACTCCCTTCACTGGTCCTGGTCTGCAGTCTCCTGGTGTGGCAGCACTGTCCTCAAAACGGCAGGTGGGAGGGAACTCCCAGGTGAGGCTTGAGCCCCTCCCCCCTTCCCTTTCTGGTGACTCTGTCCACCTTGTGGTCTCCAAAATGGGATACTGGAGAGAAGACAGGATTTGGAGAAAAGAAATTTGGTTGAGTGGCCTTAGGCATGTCTCTGCCCTCTCCGTAAACCTCAGTTTTCTCAATTAGTGACTGATGGGGTCAGATGAGGATGTGAACAGGAAGGTGCTTTGCCAGCTGTGAATAAGCAATAAACTTGCCCCCGCTCCATGCCTCAAGAATAAACAGCAAAACACACTGGGAGGCAGGGGTCTCCCTCTCCTCTGGCCAAGACTAGGTGTTGGGTTCCTTTTGGCTGTGTGTTGACACAGAAGGTATCAGATTACAGCAGTGATGGCAAAATGGCAAATATTCGCCCTGCAAATGCCACTGCCCATCTCCTACCCAGGACACAAATCAATGAACACAGAGCTCCTTCCCAGGCGACTTCGGATTCCTTCTCTACACAGCCATCTGCGTTGCCACTAGGGTGGAGTTGACCCAGAGGTGAAAACAAGTTCCTGTCCCTGACTTACACCCACCCTCCCAGGACACTTTCTACCTTACATGGTGACTGGGTGCAGATTAGAGAAGAAGTTGCCTTCAGTTCCAGGCTCAAATCTTATACAGAAGGCACTTTTGTGTACCTACCCATTCACACACATGCACACACTCACACACAAGGCACCTCCTCTTCCCATGGCTGTGGCCTCCTTGTTGCCAGGTCACACGACTTGGTGGATGCTAGCTTGATTTCAGCACCACTAACCCCAGATATCTTGGTGCAGTGCTCCGATGGTGAAACCTTAGGAACAGCCTGGCCAGTCCAGCCCCACCCCTAGACTCTTGACCATAGGAGAACCACAAAGGTGGAGAGAACCATGAATCTTAAACTCAGCCAGCCACTCCATACAGGTTCTGAGTTGTAGAAAATGCCTGGGCTTTTGGAGGTGGTTCCCCTTCCTAGCTGTGTGACATTGGCAAGTTGAGTATCCTCTGCTGGACAGTTTTCTCTTGTGTAAAATTTGCCCACGGTTACTTGAATCCCAGGACATAGGAAAGCACTGGACACCCAGAAACCCTGGCCTTTGGAAGGCCCTTGGAGAGTGCTTGCTTAGTTTTGAGGCTGGACACTGTGAGGTGGGCATGAGGGGCTGGACACTGGGTGTTAGAAGCCCACGGTTCAGCTCCCAGTCTTTATGCATGGCCTGGGGCAAGCTGGCAGGAGCCCCTGGACCTCTGAGTCCTAGGATTCATAAGAACAGGCCTAGCAGACCCTCCCTCCACCCTAATCCCCAGGGAACAGCCCTCAGAAAATTGATGGGGAGGAGCTGTGGGAAGGAGTGACTTTCCTCCTTTCCTTCCAATTTCATATCCACTTTTCTTAAAAACAAACAAACAAGCCATATAATTTTATCAATAGCCTCAACCTTTGGAGAGATCCCAGGCCTTCAGGGCTGGAAAGACGCCGAAACACTCAGGACCAGTGGTCAGACTTGAGCCTGTCCTCTTGTGGGAGACAAGGGAGATTGGTTTTGGAATACGCATGTCTTTAGGCTTATGGGCATCTGTTTGGAAGATGGGGTTAAGAAACCCTGAAGTTGAGTGTGCAGAGCTCCCTCCATGAGAAAAGTCTTACCCAAATCAAAGTATGGCAGGGACATTGGCTAATGGAAACTTTGGGAGGAGCTGAAATTGCCCCTTAGTTACTCCTTGGTCTTCCTTGCCTGCTTTGAATCTTACTATGTTTGCCCATTGGCTAAATCCCAACACCCATGGGGCATGACATTCAGCCCTTTGTCCCTGACTTCTGACTGTCTTTCTACCCTAGTTGTAGGTACAACCTACCCTCAAGTCCCACATCACATGGGTATCCCTACCCTCTAATGAAACAAAACTACTGGTCTTTCCTCACTCAAGCAAGGCTTTCCTTGCCTCCATGCCTTTGCACATGCTGTTCCCTGCCAGGAAGAGTATCCTCTTTTAGTTTTGCTGGTAGTCTCTCACCCTGCAAGACCCAGCTGAAAAA